GAGAGCAAAAAAATTCAAAGACCTTTTTTGTCCAGTCCTTTCCTCAAAAATAGACCCTAAAAACAAACAAACAACAACAAAAAACACCACAGATCCTAAAGCTTAAATTCACTTTTAACCTCACATTCACCAAATTATTACATGGCCTTATAAATCTCTCTTCTCTCTACCCTGTGACCTCTGACAAGCAATCATGACCTGATGTCACAATTCATCCCCTGCTCCACCTTTATGAGAATTTCCCAAGCTGCTTCCTGGGCTTCCTTACTTTTTGAGACAAAGATTTCTGGGACACCTCTGGTCTTACCTCTTGAGTACCCTAAGGTAGGCTACCATGTGCTTTTCTCTTAGTTTTATTTTTTTGGCTAACTGTGAACAATGACATTGACGAATGACTTTGGAGGTCCTTCTTCCTTTCTTTCTTTGCATTTTGAAGGGGTATTTTTCTGGCTTTGGGATCTATTCTGGGATAGTTTTCTGTTCTGTGACAGTTAAGATTTATAGTACATACAGCTGTGCACAGTGGTGCGTGTCTGTAATCCCAGCTACTCGGGAGGCTGAGGGAGGAGGACAGCGAGTTAGAGCACAGCCTGGGCAACCCTGTGAGATCCTGCTACAAAATAAAAATTTAAAAAGGGCTAAGGGTATAATTCAGTGGTAGGGCACTTGCTCAGCATGCGTGAGGCCCTGGATTCAATCCTCTCTCTCTCTCTCTCTCTCTCTCTCTCTCTCTCTCTCTCTCTCTCACACACACACACACAGAGAGACTTTATATAGAAAATTAACAATAAGTGCTGGCATTGGGAGGTAGATAGGAGCTCTAGAAGCCTGCAGGCTTGGGCAGAGTCTGAGCTCTGCAGGTTGCTTTCTGGGGAAGGATTATAGGATGAGGAAGGCACAGGCACTTATTAGATCACTACAGGCACATTATTTTGATGGTTCCCAGGAGCAAAAACCAATATTCTTTCCATTTAAATGCTGAAGCAGCTTCATACCTAAGCAAATTAAATTGAGATACAACTGACATATAATAAAATTAACCCTTAAAAGTGCACAATCTAGGGGTGTCTAGAAGATTCAAGTTATGCAACTATTATTCTTTAATTCCATGTTATTTTTTGTCTTCTCCTGCAATACCTATTAATAGTCACTTCCTGTTCCCTCCTGCTTCAGTCCCTGGCAACCACCAATCTATTTTCTATCTCAATATATTTATATTTTCTGGACATTTAATATAAATGGAAAAAATAATACGTGGCCTCCTGTGTCTGACATGTTTCACTTGGCATGTTTTCAAGGTTCAGCCATGTTGGAGCCTACATAATTAATTCATGCCTTTTTATTGCTGTATAATATTCCATTATATGGATATGCCACATTCAGTTTAGCCACTCATTCACTGATGAAAGGTTTAGGTTGTTTCCACTTTTTAGCTCTTGTGAATATTGTTTTTTTTGCGGAACCGGGGATTGAACTCAGACCCGTGCACTTGCTAGGGAAGTGCTTATTCTACTGAGCCATCTCCCAGCCTCATTGTGAATATTGTTGATATGAGTATTCATGTATAAATTTTTTTTTAATTTTATCTATTTATTTGTGTGTGTGTGTGTGTGTGTGTGTGTGGCCAGCTCAGCCCACCAGGGGGCGGGGCTGGCTGGCATGTGGTGCTGGGGGTTTGAACCGTGGTCCCTGTGCTTTGCTAAGCTTGTTCTTTGTTCTAAGTAGGTGCTCTAGACCATGAGCCATCTCACCAGCCCCCATCATGTATAAATTTTTGTGCAAACATGTTTGCAATTCACTCGGACATATTGTAGAATAGAATTGTTTATTTTTCATATAACTTTAAATTTTGGGAGACCCATCAAACTTTTTCAAAATGGCTGTATCATTTTATATTCCAATTAGCAGTATGTCAGTTTCCAATTTCTTTACAACCTTACTAATCCTATTCACACACACACACACACACACACACACACAAATACACTAGGGATTAAACCCAAGGCTGGGGTCAGGGAGATAGCTCAGTAGAATAAGCACTTGCCTGACAAGCACAAGGGCCTGAATTCAGTACCCGGTTCTGAAAAAACAAACAAACAAACAAACAAAAACCCAAGGCTTTGCACTGAGTTACACTCCAATCTATTACCTTTTTAAACATTTTAGTTTGAGATAGAATCTCATTAAGTAGTTGCTGATCTGCCCAGGTGGGGCTTGAGCTTTCAATTATCTTGCCTGAGCCTCCCACAATGCTAGATTATAGGCCTGCACAACCATACCTAGCAATTGTCTTCTTCATCTTCTTCTTTTTTACTATGACTATTCTAGTAAGTGGGAAGTGGACTTTCATGGTGGTTTTGACTTGCATTTTACTCTTAACTTTAGCTTACTAATCATTTACGTATCTTTTTTAAAGAACCATCCCATCAGATCCTTTGCCTGGTTTTTCGTGGTTACAAGCATTCTTTGTATCTTTTGGATAACATGTCTTTGTTAGGCATATGATTTGTGAATATTGTCTATTCTATAGTTGCTTCACTTTTTTTTTTTTTTTTTGTGGAACCGGGGATTGAACTCAGGCCCTTGCGCTTGCCAGGGAAGCACTTATTCCACTGAGCTATCTCCCCGGCCCCACTTTAAAAAATCATTTATTTATTTGTTTGGTACAGGGTCTCATTAGGCAGCTCAGACTAATGGTGATCCACCTGTCTCAGCCTCCTCAGCACTGAGATTACAGGTGAGCGTCACCACGCTGGGTTTTAGTGGCTGTCTCTGCACGGGATCCACACGGCATGTGGTACCCGGGATTGAACCTCTGTCCCTGCACTTGCCGGGCAGGCACTTAGATGGCCGAGCTATCTCCCCAGCTCTGTCTTCACTTTTTTTTTTTTTTTTTTTTTTTTTTTTTTTTTTTTTTTTGGAGCTGGGGATTGAACTCAGGCCCTTGTGCTTGCCAGGCAAGTGTTTATACTACTGAGCCATCTCCCAGCCTCATTGTGAATATTGTTGATATGAGTATTCATGTATAAATTTTTTTTTAATTTTATCTATTTATTTGTGTGTGT